TGGTTCAATCCTGGGTTAGACCTGGTTCAGTCCTGGTTCAGTCCTGGTTTAGTTCTGGTTTAGTCCATATATGGTGCAAAAGTTCGGCATCTTCGCAGTTATTTTGGTGAGAATAACTTAAAATGCTGCAATAGTTTTGTAATTCCTTATATTTTAAAAGCAGTAATATTGTAATATAACACATTACTTTGACATGACAGTAACAAGTCATAAATAAATAACACATTACAGTTTTGAAGTAACAGTGTCTATAAATAATCCATAATATATTAGGTTCAGGTTAAATATTCAAGATTTTTCAAGAAATCAAAATGATCCAGGGGCAGACTGGAAAAGACCGTGGGGGCTGACTGGGGCCGCTGCATCTCCCACCTCGACCCACGCCCCTGGTCCTCAAGTTTTTAATGTGAGCCAAATGGTGGGGGTTAAAGTCCAAGGCCGTGAAATGATCTGTTACAACTTGCGATGTCATGATGTGGTGCACAAGTTCACTGATCCTCACAGCTTTCAAACTGTCTTCACTATAAAACATGATTCTCTAAAGCTACCTGCTAAAGTGTTAAAGTTACCATCTGTAACATCTATCATATCTATCATCAGTTACAGGTTCAGTTCAAGGGTTCATCAACTGCTTGTGCCAAGGAAATGTCTGGAATGTTCCACAGTATGGCATTAAACTTAAGCCTTGTCAGCAAGATGAATTCTCACTATTTTCACGAGTTCACAAACTGCTGAAAACTCTGACTGACCACTCGCAGCAGGACTGTGGTTTGGGCAGAAGCCAGCGCTGAACAAACCAAAACAAAACTGTGCAACACCTAAAGATGTACTTTTTTTTTTTTTTTTTTAGAAGAAGAAATTAAGAGCTTTTAGTTTGTGAAAAACGAGCAGAGGGAGGCAGTTTGTGCGTTTGTGGATGGGTAAGACATCTGTACTTTTCTCTCAACTGGATTTAACTAAAGTTTGATTTTCCGGCTTGTGCTGCAGTTGTGACACTTCCACCAGTAGGTTTCAGCAAGATCCCAGATGGATGTGTAGAACTCAGTGCAGAGGACTACAGACACTACCAGTCAAAAGTTTTAGAACACCACACTTTTTCCAGTTTTTTACTGTTTACTGTTGACCAAAATGTATTCTAAACTTTTGATTCATGAAAGTGTCCATCTTAGCAGATATAACAGCTGAACACACTCGTGGCTCGTTCTTTTTACAGTAGAAATAAAAAAAAAAGTCAGAAAGTTCTTCCCAAGTCTTTTGCAGAAGTTTCTATAAATGTGTGGGTTGCTTCACTTTTCTGTCCAGTTCATCCTCAAACCAGCTCGATGGGGTTTAAGTCTGGACACTGTGCTGCTGGACACTCCATGTTTTCAAGCTTTACCATCTTGTTCTTTTTTCCTGATGTAGTTTTGGCAGAGCTTGGACTTGCGTTTTGTATCTTTTATCTTTTTTTTAACCTCTGTTCAGTTCTTCCCTTCGTACCATTTCACCATGGGTAATCTTGATCTGTAAACTCAAAAGGTAAGTAGGTTTGGACGGCCATCGTTTCCTCTTTTGGCTGTTTTCTTTTCTTAACCAGACAATCTAAAATATCTACCAACCAACAACGCGCCGTCATAACCACTCTCCAATTTAAAGCCAAATTTGATTCTGAATCCTCATTTTTCGGCTAGCATTTTTTAAATTATTATTTCCCAGCTAGTCGAGAACATTACTGACTTTCAAAAGTTTGTTGCAGAAGTTTCCATAAATGTGTGGCACTTGTAGGTTGCTTCACTCTTCTGTCCAGTTCATCCCAAACCAGCTCCATGGGGTTTAAGTCTGGACACTGTGCTGCTGCTGGACACTCCAGGTTTTCAAGCTTTACCATCTTGTTCTTTTTTCCTGAGGTAGTTTTGGCAGAGCTTGGACTTGTGTTTTGTTCTTTTATCTTTTTTTTTAAACCTCTGACTGTTCAGTTCTTCCCTTTGTACCATTTTAAGCTCTTCGTTGGACTTGCACGACTTAAATTGCAAAAAATAACTGGAAATATTAGGATCTTCTTCAATCAAAACTAATCTATCCTGCATCTATTTCCTTGCAGGGTTTTGACAAATAGAACTAGACTTGGGGGTATTAACTACACTGAGATACACTATGGAACATATCAGACAAAGCAACAACGGCTCCACCAGAAATATGACATAATGCCCCTTTAATCTTGCGTTTACCAATGGCGAACCAAGGACTCATAAAGCATCTATAGTGAGATTGATTACAGCGATTTTGCAATTTTCAAATGTAGGCACCATGAAGATCACAGTAATTAAAAGAGTTAGGTTCATTTAGTTGAAAGCAAACAGCTCTTTAGCATTACACAAATAACTCAAGTGTCAATCACACGTGGAGACCGGTGGTGCGTGCAGACTCATTCACACGTCACACGCCAATATAAGCAGCAAAATTCAACTCCGTTTGACTTTCATGGCCAACCAGCTCTGAAATGTACGAGGAGAGGGAGGTGATGGGGAAGTGCAGCGTAAGGATAAGACAGTAGAAGAAGAAAGAAAGAGGAGGAAGTAAACGGTTAATTTAAGGTCTTATATTACATTACATTTATTTTGGTGAGTGTTAAAACATGTTATAATGCAGTTACTTCATCAAAAACAAAACTGGAGTTGTGTTTCATTCACACATGTCTGAGTAATTCTTTATGATTAGTCTGTCTACATGTCCAAAGCTCAAAATGTTTTGTTTCACCTTGTGATGTCATGAAGCAGCAGTTTAAGTGAACAGCTGCTTTTTACCTTTTGTTCAGTCGAGATTGTCAATCAATTCCAGGGCTGAAATCATCCAAATCATTCTAATGAAGGTGTATAGAGTTTAAAAACACAGTGGAGCACTTCCTGTATTACCACATGACATCACAAGGTGGAGTGTTTTCAGTTTGAGAGAAGAACTCTGCCTAAATATGCAAGATTTAATGTCTTGTATAAAGCTGAGATTTTATGTTTTATTACTTCTTTTTTTATTACTTTATTTATTTATTTATTTTATTTTGACTTGTACATATGCATTTATATAATTATGTCTTATTTCACACCAGTCTATTGCTCTCTTCTGCTACTTATATAGAATTTATTATTACCATTTATATTTTTTACTCTTTGTTATTATATTATATTGTGATGTGTGAACTGCTGTGTCCAAATAATTTCCCTTGTCGATTAGTAAAGTTTGTCTAAGTTTAAGTCTAATATTGTGTTAAAACTGTGTGAATGAAACAAAACACAACTCCAGGTCTGTTTGTGATGAGGAAACTACATTAGAACATAGATCAGAAAACAGCATAATATGGGTCCTTTTTTAAAAAAAAAGAAAAAGAGAAAAAAAAAAAGATGAACAAAAGGACAGATGAAAGGAACAAAGAATGAAATAAAAACTAGATTGACATATGCAGCTGTGGAGTTAGAATTATTATCAATTTGGAACAAGCCAACTGACATGCTTCAATAAAAAATGATATATAGTTTTAGGCAAAATTAATGTGCCGCATTAAACGTTTTCTTACTCTTGGGACCTTGTTAGTAATTATTCATGAAATGTTTTTGTTGGAAATTATACACTTAATGTTATGCACCAAAATGTGCAATGACGCAAACAAATGCAAGAAGAGAGAACCACAACATTGCAGCTTGGTCAGTGAAAGAAAAGATGAATGAACAAGATGGAGTAAAGAAAGGACGATAACAAGAAAGAGGAAAAAATAAGACAACAGTTAATTGAATACGAGGGCACTCTGTCATGTGTGGAAACATGGGATTCTTTTCTGGAGTGCAGTCAGCTGAAAAACACCACAATGCACTTCAGCGGGTACTCCCCAGAGACGACATGCTAGCATAGCAGCTAACATAAAGTTGATATTAGCATAGACATATAGACCTTTTTCACAACAGCCGGAAGTGTCACGCTGTAGATTTGTGGAATTTCCGGTTAAAGATTTTCTCTGGCAGAACCTGTGTGTAAATGTCTGCCGTATTTTCCAAGCAGCTTCATAAATCTGCCCCATCAACAAATCTTCAACCAACAAGGTCCACAAAGAACAAACATTCTAACATGAACAATTTATCCACAACTATCAAGGGAAGAAAGACGAAATGTTTAAAGGCGAACCACAACGCTTTAGTGAACTACTGAACAAAACTGACGTTATGGTCATGAATAAAACATAAATAACTTTTTTTTTATTATGCATATTTATCTATTTTTATTTAAATACCCCTTTTCACAGACATCTGTCACAAAGACACTACATACCTATTATCATAGCCACAGCTGCCCTGGGGCAGACTGACTGAAGTGCAGCTGCCATCAGTCCCTCCAACCACCACCATCACTCACGCACACACCACTTTCATACTAGGCAATGTGGGTGAAGTGCCACAAGGACACAATGGCAATTTATTTTTGCGACTGGCGCCCCCCTGTAGCTCCTGATTTTCCCAGTGGTCTCCCATCCATGCCCTGCTGAGCTTCTGAGATCTGACAGGATCAGGCTTTGACAAACTGGTATAGCCACAAACTTGTTCACTCAACCTGATTCTAGAATTAAAATTAAAAATCAATTTCATGATATCAATATTAGCATAAATAGATCGACTTGTGCAGTTCAAATACAAGACATCTCTTGGATACTATAACCATAGTTTTGGGGTTAGTTCAGTAATGCTCGATGTTGTTCGCCTTTAAGTTTTCGTCTTTCTGACCTTGATAGTTGTGGATAAATTCTTCATGGAAGAATGTTTATCCTTTGTGGACCTGGTTGACGATTTGGTGATGGGGCAGATTTATGAACCTGGTGGAGAATATGCGAGACATTTCCACAGACATTTTGTTCCACAAACCTACAGCGGGGAACTTCCGGCCCTTGTGAAAAAGGTTTATTGCTTTGAATGCATAGATTGTATCATAAGATGAGATCTGAATAACATCATATCCCTAGTTTTAACCCCTTTTCCACTCACATGTGTCCATGCTGGTGTCCTCCTCTGTGGTGGGAGCGGTGCTGGAGCCTGGGGCCTTCTCGTAGGACTTATCGATGGCGGCTCTGAAGCTCTCATTGCAGCCTCGGCCCCTGACGATGTGGGAGCGGGCCCTGGACACGTTCACCTCCGCCATGGCCGTCTGCAGACTCTCCAGAGACGCAGACTTCTTCAGACCCAGGGACGGGCCTACTGCCGGGTAAGAGGAACCTGCAAGAACAAGATCAGGGTCAAGACTCGTTTTAGGAGTGCATGTTCTCAAATTCAGTGCAGAGAATCAATCTGGATCTTTTTGTTTTGCTTTTTATCTGCATTATTTTTCCCTCTCTCTTCTCAGACCATCACTAATCACATATGAACAAAACCAACATGGTAGGAGAGTCTTGCTGAAGGACACAACCACAGCACTCACCATACAGCCCCGATGTTATAATGAGCTCATACTGCTGACCGCTAACCGTGTGCTGGGAGCTGCACATGCTGTACTTGCATATGTGATGATGAGACACGTTCGAGGTGAGAAAATGTAATATTCAGACGCTAATGATGCTGACGCTAACAGTGAAATGAGGACATCAGGCCCAGGGAAATAGTTCTGGATGACGTATAGAACTTTGGAGCTTAGACAGGCAGGTACAGAGATCAGTCATGACATGAAGGGAGAGTAGAACAGATCGGAAATATCAGGGCCTAGCTAAGGGATATTGGTGGTGGTGACAGCGAAGAAGATGGAGAGGCTGAGGAAGCCGATGGTTCTGCTGCGGAGGAGAAGAACATAGGACTTTATAAATGAATGAGTTGAGGGTGATTAGATAAGATGAGTTTCATTAAAGGTCCTGTATTACGCAAAATTGACTCTTGTGAGTTTTAAGCCATCATAAACGTACCCAGTGTGTTTTGTTTTATTCACACATGTTTGATTAATCCTTTATTATTTGTTTGTCTACATTTCCAAAGCTCAAAATGCTCTGTTCCACCTTGTGATGTCATAGAGTGTTAGTTTTCAAGTGATCAGCTACTATCAGAGGTGGGACCAAGTCGTTGTTTTCTAAGTGTTTGACCTCAAGTTCGAGTCAAGTCCCAAGTCAAGTACAGGCAAGTCCAAGTCAAGTCTCGAGTCACTGACCTGTAAGTCCAAGTCAAGTCCAAGTCGTCTGTTTTGAGCTTCAAGTCATTTCAAGTCTTTAAACCAAAGTACCAAATATAGCTTTGGTTTTTGCAATTTATATGAATTTTAAGCTAAAATGTACTTATAAAGTCATAGTATATTTATATAAGAGTATTTATAGAGTATGTAAGAGTTGTAGAAATGCATTTTTAAATATTTTTATGTCTTGACAAGATCTTAGTGTGAATCATTACAGTCAGAATAGAAAGAAGAAGAAGGATTTAAAAGTGCTTCTCAAGTCTTCTCAAGTCACAGGGCTCAAGTCCAAGTCGAGTCTTAGTCCATTTTATTAAATCAAGTCTCAAGTCCTAAAAATAGTGACTGAAGTCTGAAAACATGCTACATAGGTCTCCAGGAAGAACAGTTGATAGCCAAGGTCAGTTAAATATAATCAATCAATGAACCTGCCCAGGGACTAAAGGTGGAAATTGGCACTGGCGCTACAACCTGATACAATGCATCTCTCCTGTTAAGGTTAATGTAAAAAAAAAAAAAAGTGCTTGTCCCGGTCTCAAATAAATAAATAAATAAGTCTGATTCGACTTGCAAGTCCCACCTCTGGTTACTATTTACCTTTAGTTCAGTAGAGATTGGCAATAACAGGGCTGGAATCATCCAAATGATTCTAGTGAAGGTGAATGGAGTTTAAAAACACAGAGAAAAAATGTCCTGTAATACCACATGACATCACAAGGTGGAACAGGGTGTTTTCTGTTGAAGTTTTCTGTTCAGTGTGAATGAAACAAAACATAACTCCAGGTGTGTTTGTGATGAGGAAACATTATAACATAAATCAGAAAATAACGTAATATGGGCTCTTTATGCTCTTGCAATTTAAAGATATTTTATATTTACATTACTCGTTTTAGATGATACAAGATTATTTAAATTTAATTAATGCATGTGAATAATACCTGATTCAAATGTAATTATGATCACCCTCCCACTGCACTTGAACCCTGGTAAGAGCGCTCACTTGTCTGCTCTGACAGTTGAGCCGTGACAGGGAAGACGTACAACCGCCTCGTCCTATATACATATATACATGTCCCATATACATATATATAGCTAAATAAATATATGCATATCTTTATCAAAGCATGTGCTGTAAGGTATCAGTGGCCTATATGCAAAACAAATGCATTATGCAGAGAGAGGACATGTATTATTGAAATGGTAATGTCATGATGAGATCTGTACACGTGTCTGCGCCTATCACATCATCACTGACAACCTGTTACCACGACTACACCACAGGGAGGGGAGTGATGGGTTAATTCAGTGAAGTGCAGCAACTGTGCTCTAAATAAGTAACAATATTTTGAAGGAACAGTACTCAAAGGCCCTGTACTCTATACGTTGGACCAGTGTGAGATAGTATTTTGACCCCCATAGTATACTGACCCCGGGGTCAGCATACCACTATAGTAAAGTGACCCCCCCTATAAGATTTTGACTCCCCTTACTTTTTTCTTTAGTAGTTACTTATCTGATCATTATCCCCCGTGTAATTTATTTTTATTATATATTGCTACATATTCACTTTGTTGAAGGTATTTTAAGGAGTGTTTTGATGGAGAATGACTTGGTATTTTGTGTAAAAGTAACGTATTGTTATAATTGCATATACATCGCAAACTTGTCACTTTTTATATTGTATTTTACATTATTATGGTTTTTAGTTTGCTATGTTCAGATAATCCTTAATCATAATGTCAATTCAGGCAATGGTTTGTAAAGATAACGGCATTGAATTTAGTCATGTTGTGTTATAATAAACATATTGAGGGGTCAGATTACTATAGTCATAGGCTTTTGACCTTTTTTATTTATAATTGATCATTGTCAATATTCAACTAACATTACTTCTTACTTTACATCATAATAACTATAATAAACATATTGGGGGGTCAGATTACTACAGTCATAGGTTTCCCCTATTTAACTACTATACATCACTTTGATTACCTAACTCATTAATAACTACTTATCTCATTTTCAGTAAAATATGTGTTTAAACAACTAAGTCATTTTTAACATTCAAAAGTTATACTCGACGTAAAAAATGCATATGAGTTCTTCAAAAAACACTTTTAAATATGTCAATATGTTTTAATTTGCAGATATAGTATTAATTAGGGATGGGCATTCGATGAAATTTTCTTGATTGAGAGAATTAACGATCGATTATCGATTAATCATTAACGTTTTTATATTAAAATGGTCATCATTATTATTACCATCTGCACTCCTAATCTGCATAAATAAATTCAACTTTACGACAAATAAACCGTAACCACTCTAGAGCCACATCAGCCCCTTTATTATAATGTGTTTAATTCAGTTTTGTGCAACTCTCACAGAAACTAAACTAAAACCACATCGCTAATTTGCATAAACTAAGTGAAGATAAAACTACAGCTCTTGTGCGCTGATGCGGTTCAATTCTGTCGGATTAAAAGACATGACTCAGGTGAATACAGGTTAGTGTGACCATATTTGCGTTTGTCAAAACCAGGACACATTACGGGTGGTGGGAGGTGGGGACTCGTCATCGACATTGCGCGACTCTCACCTGGCAAAACTTTTTCCCACTGGACACCGAAACATATGTGCTGCTTTGTACACTGTGCACATGGCCTCACACTTGTCCCGAACGCAACGGAAAGTGTGGAATTTCTTGTACAAATCATCGTTAAATATGCATGTGCACTTCGGTACGTTGCAGACTGACCGACTGTTTGTGTCTCGCTCCTTCTGAGTGCAGAGAGACATGTACGGACCCCTGTTTGGTCACGAAACGCACAGCAACCTGCATTCGGTTTGTCGATAAAAATTTACGTAATCGATGAAATTCTTAATGATCAATTATCGACTAATCGACTAATCATGCCCATCCCTAGTATTAATACTTAAAGTTTTTCTATAGAATTCAAGTTCTTTATTAATAAAATACAGATTTTCAACATACCATAATAGGATTTTGACCCCGGGATCAAAATACTATGTGGTGTGTCGACCCCATATAGTAAGGTCATGTTCACATTGATCGTGTTTGTGATAAAATTATCCAGGTCTGGAATGTGCAGGTAGTACTCGGGATATGGGTACAACACACTCACATTATTCACCAGAACTCCAATCTCCAGCCCTGAAAGTCCTGCCTCAATTTTGGGATAAATGTCTGTTTTTCCAAAGTCCACAGCGGTGGGTTTTGTCTCCACTTTGTACTGCTCCTCTCCTCACCGCGGGCTCAAAATCCTATACCACACTGGCACATCTGGGAACTTGACTGGTAAGAGACGTTCCTGCCCCTTTCTGGGGGAAAACAAATGACCCTCTCATTAACTTTAATGCAAATTAGGGTCAATAAACATACACCAAATCAATATGAGTACTCAATACATGACCACTTTGTCGCTCGTTGACTGTGAACGATTCGTACAAAAGCTTAATTCAATTAATATGAAAACATGCCCCTTCAGTCTCCCATGTACAAAGAGCAACAACCCCACTCAGAGTCCAGAAGTGACATACCCACACATTTATTTGTATCTCATTAAGCCTCCAGAGTAAGAAATTCTAGTAAGAAATAGTTTTTCTGTATTTTTGCCTTTATATTTGGCTCAGATTTAAAGTACGTTAGTTAATTCATGTAGAGCTAGAATAATTTCTGTCATAGGTGAGCCTAGATAGGTATTTTCATTAGTCCAATTCATTTTTGGTGTAGTTGTTTGTCTCTTGAAGACTAATGAACAATATTATAATTAAATCAAGATTTTAATAACTAGGCTAATATTTATTTGCCAGTAAAAGCCGTAACCTGCTCCTCGATTAAGGTTCAGCGTAACAGCATCCCATTGGGCGCTTCTCTTCGTTTGACTTGTAGCCATAATTTTCTTCTGACAGGATTTTTTGTGGACATGTCAGGGGAATGAATTTCAGCAAAGGTTTCTTAGCTTTTCTGTTTGTACACCCAACCACACAGCAACTCTTTGGCATCAGGGTATCCCCAGGTTTGACTACCCCAAATTTAAGACGT